GCTCTAATACCATAAAGATTTTAATATTGCCAAAAGTTAAATGATTTCATTCATGCCCAATGTTTAAATATAGAATAACAACCGAATAAAAGGAAATGATTGGAAAAGATAAGCTAGTAAAACTAAACAAGATAAACTATGAAACTAGATAACTTGGTGGGAAGAAGACTTGGCTGGCAATTGGTTGGCATAATAAGGAAAGCCAATTTCTTTATAATCTACTCTTATCATAGTAATCACGTTATTCATGTTATTTTATACTAACTGGATTATGACCCACGTAAAAAACGCAATGGAACATATAAAAAAAAATACATATAAAGTTATAAAAAAACGACACAATAAAAAAAAGATAAAGTAACATAAAGAGACTTCGTGTTATTGATTATATTGAAATGTCTAAACAAATAAAATGAAATGTCTGATTATCTATAATCGTTGAAGGACCTCTTTGTAGACAACATTTTTTGTTTTATTGGTTGGACGATCTTCCTTGTTACATATGAGTACCTTCAAGCCTTTTTTATTTGTCATGCGAGAAACAGCTACATATAACTGACCATGAGTGAAGACGAGTCTACGCAAATACAATCCAACAATTGATAATGATTGTCATTGATTCTTGTTAAACACATGTGACTCAACCTAGTAATATAGATGTTTAAAGGGATGAACTAATAGTTTTAAAAAAAATACAATAGTACACAAATTTAAAATTAAAATTATTGCCCTCAAATAGTCAGTCGGTTTAAATAAAATACAAAAAAATGAAATCTTACTTAAATCTAAATGACCATCTTGTCCTTTTACTTATTGCAATACAAAAAAAAAAAAAAAAAAATACATGTTTTATATAACGTATTCATCGACTACAGTTTTAGATGACAATTACATTAGTCACCTATTATTTTTTCTTTTGTTCATTAGGTACTAATAATATACAAAAAAATCATCTTATTACATCATTTTATTCCATGAAATCCAATCAATTATAAAAATATGAGAAAACAATATTACTTGCCACAGTAAATGGTCAAATATGAGGTGTTGATTAGAAACATACAAAAAAAGTAGTAATCACTAAATGGAAACGAAAATATGCACATATTTAACAAAAACAAAAAAATATAAAAAAAAAAACGAAAAAAAAAAAAGTTGAAGTAAGTAAATAGCAAATATGTCAAGCTGACATCAGTCAATAATTTAAAAGAGCAATATAAATAAAAAAACAGAATGATTCAGAAGTACACTGTTATTCTTTAGTAGGGACAAAATGGTCAACTGGACAATTTTCTTTCATGAAACTGATAAACTTTACAGTTAAAGGGGCAAATATGTCAAATTGATAATAGTCAATAATTTAGAACAACAATACAAATATAAGAACAGAATAACAATGTATTTATGGTTCAAAGTTACAGTGATATTATGTTCATTTGTAGAAAATGAAGGTGTCCTACTATGAAGGGATAAAAATTTGTTTTCCAAATTTGCCCTTTGTATGAGTAGTACCGAATGCTGCATTATTGATTTTCCATAAAGGCAAAAGTGTGTGAAATTGAAGCTCTTTTTAATTCAGAATGTTTAATTTAAATAAAAACCATAACAACATTGACAAAGACATTAACACCCTGTTCCCGAGTTTATCAAAAGAAAAGAAAAGAAGAGAAAAGAAAGTAATGAGAGAAAAGAATAGAAAGGAAAGGAAAACAAAATTTTCTTTTGTGTTCCCGAGTTGGAGAGAAGTGGAAAGAAATAAATCATTATCTTCTTTCCTTCCAAATCCTCCCAAATCGGAAGGAAAGATAGGAGGGAAAGTGATCCTTCCATTTCCCTCCATTTCCTTCCTTTAATGAAACTCGGGAACACCAATTTCTTTATTTTCTTCTCATTTCACCCATTTCCTTTCCTTTCTCTCGTTAAGTTGAACTTGGGAACGGGGTGTAAATAGTTGAAGGAAAACAAATAAAATCAAAATAAATGGTTTTATTGGAAACACATCTATTGAAATAACTAGTTAGATTAATGTGAAGATTGAGGTTTGAGTTCATGAAAGTATGTAGTGATTTAAGAACAGGAATTGAAAGTGTGAAATAGAAAATGATAAGGCATAGAAGTACACACAGTTGATCGTCGATGACAAGGTTAGAGAAGTTTTTGCTCTATTTTTTCTAAAGATGAAGTATGTCAATTGCTCCTGCATAAATCGAAGAATAAAAATGTTAGGATTATGTATTATGTATAGAAAATATCATGGTTGTAAAAATCGGCCTAGGCAGCCGATTAATCGTCGCCTAGGCGCTTGGTGACCTGCAACCGCTTACGAATAAGGGTTGGAGGGTAAAATAATCGACATTGGTCAAAATCAGTCAAAACCTGTCCAATTCAGTCCTAATCGGACCCAAAATGGGGCTCAAAGGACCCACCAACTCAAAGGAGACAGTTGGCCCAAAGGAGAGTTTGATATGGATTTCAATAAGCCTTCTACCCTTTTTATAGAATTGTTTGCCCTTTATATTTTATCCCAACAACGATGTGGGATACTCAATTGAAAAAACACAGGAACACACAAAGATAATTTTATTTGTTTCCTTTACTTCAATCTCGACTCCGATCAGGTGATACTCGAAGACATACTCAAGTGGAAACAATCAAGAACCATGGATTGAAAACAGATACTCGAGATGAAAACAAATACTCGTTTTGAAGAGGCTTTTTGACCGGTACTGGACGTAGAGCACTCATTCGTTCCCATCACAGATTGTCACCCCATTAACCATCTTCGTGTACCCTATCACCATCACTTGTTCGTTCCTGCTTCCTTTTTTTTGAAATCGAGTTTCTTTTTGGTAGTTGCAAGATTTATAATTGTTCTGGTGGGATCAAATTGCTTATTCATTTGATTAATCTGATTCGTTTTCTTGTTTATGGATGGAATCGGTGTCTACTCAAATTGTTGATTCGTTTGATTAATCTGATTAGTGTTCTTGTTCTTGGTCAAATCGATTCTCTCTAAACTCAAATTGGTAAAAATCAGCTTAATGGTTGTTTGATCACTGGATTGAAGGCAAACCCATAAACTCAATTCGCTATTAAAACAAATTTTAATCTAGCCCATAAACTCGATTGAAGGCAGATTTAAGTTGATACAATGTTTGTGTAAATGGTTTGATAATAACAAGCATACCAAGTGTTTGTGTAAATGTTTAAGATAAACTTCATGTTATAATGTTATATTTATTAAAATTTTAATAAGTTTTTAAATTTATAATGTTATATCTATTAATGTTATATTTAATGTTATATTCTTAGGATTAATGTTATATTTATTAATTTTTTTTAATAATTAATGGTACCCAATTAATCCCCACCTAGCCGATTAAACCTTTAACCGCAGTCCACGATTAGCCTACGTCGAACGATTTCTACAACCTTGGAAAATATATAACGATAAATAGTTCCTTTTTGTAGAGATATAATTTGGCTTATGAAAAGTCGTTTATTATGTATAATATCAATTAGAAGGATTAATATGGTAACCAATTAAATATTCCAAAACATGAATAAAAATTCTATAATTATATACTATTTGAATTCTATTTGAAAAGTTGATGTTATCAATTTGATCTAGAGACAGAAAACATAAGATTGAAATACAATTAAGAATCCTGATTGCTTCGTTGATAAATTAAGAATTCTTTTTTAATAACAAATTCTTGAGGTAACACATATTCTTCAACACTCTCCTTTGATGAACATTTTTTCTATAAAAAAATATAAGTTACACATTCCTGTGATTTCTCATACCGTATGGGTATTAATCTCACCCAAAATTCATCCATCCACTAAGGCCCCTCGGCTCCATTAAGAGCACATCAATCAAAAGCTGTTTTACTACACAATCATCCAATAACTGGCCGCCACCGGTATCCTTGAACAATGTAATAATAATAATAATAATAATAATAATAATAAATAGCTAAACTCGTGAATGATGTTGTAAAAGTAAGCTTTCACTTTGCAGCCTACATATTATATGTTGATTAAATTTCAACCCACACCCTTCTCTCTAACATACGAAAATACATCTAAATAAATCACACTTGTAATGCAAAAAGTGAACCATATGACATTGTTCATACATAATTCTTGAACAGTTCAGTGTCAAATTTCCACTAAACCATGTAGGCTTAACAAAAAACATCTTCTTTTTTTTTTCTTTTAAGGAAACAAGTTAATAATTGTATCATCATGGACATTTTTAGGTAAAAGTAAAATCACAATATATTATTACATTTCTATTTTTTTCAGATAAGAGGAAATTAGATTTTTAAGAGGCGGGGTCTTAAGTCAGCCATCTGCCACCTGGCGGAGAAGCTTTCGTTTTCCCATATGACATTAAAGTATTTATGATTACTGTTTTTCTAACTTCTATTGTCTGTGGGGGTCGACGGAATCCACGTTTCCGACTCGGGACGGATTTGAACTTTCCGATTCCGACACTCACAAAGCAAAAACAATCAACTTCTCAAAGGGTCCAAGAACCATTTTGCCAGTTTTGATGTTAGAATCACGTCTTCATACTTAAGAACCGACTCGGGACTCTTTGGACATTTTCTCATCATCACTATCGCCCGTTGAGTCTTCATCTTCACTGTGGGACCCACTGTCACTATGGCTTGAGTTGCTTAAAGGAGCTGATGTGCAGTTTCGTTTGTCTGTGTCCTTATGATTATAATGAGACTCTGGATCATGCAGGCGGAGTCTTTTCCGGGCAAGGAGTTCGTTCAATGCAACATCTTTTGCATCTGCCCGGGCAACGAGTTCGTTCAATGCAACATCTTTTGCATCTGCCCGGGCAAGGAGTTCGTTCAATGCAACAACATCTTTTGCATCTGCCCGGGCAAGGAGTTCGTTCAATGCAACATCTTTTGCATCTGCCCGGGCAAGGAGTTCGTTCAATGCAACATCTTTTGCATCTGCCCGGGCAAGGAGTTCGTTCAATGCAACAACATCTTTTGCATCTGCCCGGCAAGGAGTTCGTTCAATGCAACATCTTTTGCATCTGCCCGGGCAAGGAGTTCGTTCAATGCAACATCTTTTGCATCTGCCCGGGCAAGGAGTTCGTTCAATGCAACAACATCTTTTGCATCTGCCCGGGCAAGGAGTTCGTTCAATGCAACATCTTTTGCATCTGCCCGGGCAAGGAGTTCGTTCAATGCAACATCTTTTGCATCTGCCCGGGCAAGGAGTCCGTTCAATGCAACATCTTTTGCATCTGCCCGGGCAAGGAGTTCGTTCAATGCAACATCTTTTGCATCTGCCCGGTCAGCTGACCAAGCAGATGACTGTCCTGCCTGGTTGACAGTGTGAGGTGGGGATCTGGCTTTTCTTTGATTTGACTTTTCTTTATGTTTCTTTATACAATTTTTAAACTTTTTAAACATTTTTCTGTTAGCACGTTCAGCAAGTATCATTGCTCTATCAAGCTCTGACATTTTTGAAAGCCTTTGTCTGTCTTCTTCGCCTTTGTAAAGATCACTTCCAACAGAGTCATCATCACGGTCAGCTGACCGAGCAGATGAATGTGCTGCCCGGTTGACCGTGTGAGGTGGGAGTCTGTCTTTTCTCTGATTTGACTTTTCTTTCTGTTTCTCTATACTGTTTTTCAACACTTCATACATTTTTCTGTTAGCACGTTCAGCAAGTATCATTTCTCTATGAAGCTCTGACATTTGTCTGTCTTCTTCGACTTTGTAAAGATCACTTCCAACAGAGTCTGTGTCTTTATGATTATAATGAGAATCTGGATCTTGCAGGCGGAGTCTTTTCCGGGCAGGGAGTTCGTTCAATGCAACATCTTTTTCATCTGTCCAGTCAGCTAACCCATGATCATCATCTCTAGAATCACTTCCATCATCAGAATATGAACCCTTTCCTTGTCTTCTAGATGCTGGTGTTGAAGGTTGGTTTCTTCCTGATGCTTCAAGAAGCATCTCATCCAAATCCATACTAGGTGCTGGTGTTGAATGCTGGCTTCCTCCTGTTCTTCTTGCTGCTTCAAGAATCATCTGATCCAAATCCACCATGATTCTTGATCACATACAAACACCAACGGTTTTCCAATATCCTGCATGGTTTGCAGCAAATTATTTAGCAAGTGTAATAAAAACTCACATTCGTACATAACCCACAACCAGGGCCGGCCCAAGGGGTGTTCAAGGTGTGCTTAAGAACAGGGCCTACTAAAATCTAGGGCCCATTATTTTGTTTCAGATTTTATATTAGGGTATTTTCAGTTTTTTGGCCATGTACTATGTATCAGACGATAAAGCAAGGACAGCATGAATTAGAAATTAGATGAGCAGGAATTATAAACATTTGGGGAAAAGGAAACGATTTTTTGGTTCTCAATAATGATGATTACGATTTAGACATCGGGAAGACAAGAACAAGTTGACGATGGCTAGCAGCAACGGTGTTCTACTCCACAATCCACGATAATAAGAAGGATATAACTCAATCAAAGCATTCAGTTTATGCTTCTTTTTTAATTCCTTGTTGATAAATCTTAAAAAATCAGTGAATCGGAATTCAGAGCCAGGCTTCAAAAATCTAAAGCAAACTGAAATCAGAAGTGAGGTTTCAAAAATCAGAATCTTGGATCAGGTCTAGGGACGAAAATCAAAAGGTCTTATACCTTTTTTTTTATCTATCTGGTATATTACTGATGTTTAGAAGTATTTATTTATTCTTTCTAATTATTGTTTTCTTGAATTCAGAAAATTGAAGAAATAATCAGCCCACTACTGATCCAACTTTGAGTTTTAGAAGTTTTTGATTTAAGATTTTCTTGAAGTGTAAAAAATCAAAGGTATTGTACATCTTTTTTTATCAATTTGATATACTGATACGTTTCTGGCATTGTGTAGAAGTAAACTAGGCTTTTTTTTTTTTTTCATTCTTACTGTTTTATGTTGTCTGGAATTTATAAGAATTGATGGAACAATCTGTCCATTTTCAAGCCAGCTTTAAGGTTTAGAAGTTTTTAATTTTAGATATATTTGCACTGTTGAAAGTTAGAAGGTAAGTTCTTGTTTTTCTTTTTTGATTATAGCATTCTGATTTCTGTTTTTTTATAGTTTTTTCAGAGGACAGAGGTGTTATAGTTTGCATTTGAGTTTCAATGATTATTAGAATGATGGTTGTTTTGGTGTAGAAGCAAATTCATTTTTTGTGTATTTATATTGAATGAAATGTTAATTTATATGGAGTATTTTGCAATAGAATATGAAAAATTATACTTGGTTTGCTTAAATTTTAGGTTTTCTATGTTTTAGGGTCTATATTTTGTTAAATTGAACAGGGCCTTCGAAATCTCAGTCTCCATCTTGGAGTGTTTCATATTAAGTGCATTTGAAAGACTTTTAGGCTAAAATCATCTGCTTCACACTTGTGATCATTACAAAGCATTTGTTGTATCTATGGCGGGTTACAATACTTCAACTTCAAAAACATATCATGGATAATTTCTGAAAATTTTAAGTTTACATGTGGAATTTGTTGCAATTCTCATCGATGAAAGGAGTGCAGATTTTTACTCATGAACAAAGCGATCAAGAAGAAATAATTAAGTATCAATATCTGAATCACTTACAGGCAACCGCAACAAAAAAAAAACAAAGAAAAAGCTTAATTATCAAAAAAAAAATCACAAACCCTAAATTAGAACAGATAGAAGATCACTATTCAGGATTCCAGACATTTAGCTTTTCGAATTTCGACTAACATCAACTAAGTTTCAAATAAACGATTCATATATTAATTCATAGATTTGAAGTTCGAGGCAACAACAACAAACAAAAACTAATACAGGTGAAGAAATTGGGGATTTTGAGTTAGAGAGTTACCGCGTTTAAAGAGAACGGCGTCCAGAGAAAGAATAGCGTCAGGAGCGTAGTCTCCGTATGATGATGAAGTGATCAATGTTATATGCCAACACTCTTTGGGGTTTCACAGTTTACATCCCTTTAACTTTTACCACTACAATCTCCACCCACAACTTTTTGAATTGTCAATTTGATCCCTTCCTTTTCCAACATTATGGTTACACGGTTTACATCCCTTCAATTTGTACCACTACAATCTTCACCCACAAATATGTTCAATTGTCAATTTCGTCCCTTTCTTTTCCAACATTGTTCTATTTCAATACTTTTCCAAACATTGTTCAATTTCGATATTTTTTTGCACATACTTTTCCTGCACAATATTGTGATTATTACACATTTGGCCCTTCCTTGGTCAATGGGTAGTCAACCCTACTCTACACTTTTGGATTCCGTCGTTACATGTTTTTGAAAACTATCACTTTTGTGCCAAATATTTTTAACATTTGGTCCTTCCTTGGTCAATAGGTAGTCAACCCTACTCTACACTTTTAGATTTCGTCGTTACATGTTTTTGGAAACTGTCACTTTTGTGGCAACTTTTTTAAAAAACTTTAAATTATTTCCAATTTTTTTTAGGAAACTTTAAACTATTTCCAACTCATAAGCTCTTTTCTAGTTCATAAGATGACACACCACTTACAGAAATATCAGTATTTAGTTGCGGAAAAATTGACCGTTTTCCCAAAAAAAAATTAAAAAAATTAAATTTTTTGGAAAACCGATAATCATTATTTTTCATATTTTTCTGATTCCATAATTTTTCTAAAATATAAACGCACACCCACTCCCACCCCACCCACATTTACATAGGAGTGAGCATTTGGACCTGGGGACCGGACCGGTGAATCGGACTGGACCAGACTGGGCCGGGTCGAACCGTTTTTTGGACCCCGATCCAGTTCTCGTTTCTAGGATTTCAGCAAAACCGTCTGGTTTTTTTACCGGTCCGGTCCGGCCTGTTCCGGGTAAAAAACGGTTTTGGACCGGATTATATTTTTTTTAAAATTGTATTTTATAAAATTATTTAAAAAAACATATATCATTCATTTTAAGTCGGATTAACATTCAGTTTTTTCCAACATGTAATTTAGAGTTTGTAGATGATTTTATACTATAATTTTGTTGTTTTTGGTGTTATATTTAATGAATTACAATTCTTCAAAGATGAGATATCAAAGCTGAAATATTTCAGCTTTTCAACAATAAATTAAAATTTGTATTTTATCAAATTCTTTAAACAAGCATATCTCATTTGTTTTAGGTTTGATTGACATGTAGTTTTTTCTAAAATGTAATTTAGAACTTGTAGATGATTTTATACTATAATTTTATTGTTTTTGGTATTATATTTAATGAGTTACAATCCTTCAAACAAATGATATAAAATATAAATAATCAAAATTTGACTGGTCGAAAGAACACAATAAACAAAAACATATTCATTTTATATTGCATTATTGATTTAAATTATAAAGGTTATTAATCATCTATTGATGGCCTAACGAGTAAAACAAATGACACTTCTCCCTTTGTCATGCGTGCCTGGGCCTCGAGCGGGTTGTTGCAACAACCAGGTTGTCAAAAACAAGTCAGTTGAGATCCTCAATTATCAAAAAGAAAATTATAAAGTTTATTTAAAATGGCAATATATATATATATATATATATATATATATATATATATATATATATATATATATATATATATATATATATATATACACACACCAAATAACACTAATTTAACAAAAACCAGAAAACGTATTAACTTTAATAAATACAAAAACAACATAATAACTTCTTTTAAACAATAGGAATAATATGTTTGATTTTTCAAAGATTTTCCCTTTCCAAGTATATAATTCTTGATCTAAAATTCAAATTTCATATACAGTTTTATGCTTTTTAGGACAATGTTTTAACTATAAGATTTACCATTTCATTTGAAGTTCAAACAAGTATGTTGCATAGAACTCTGTCAAAAAAAATGTAGCATAGAAAAGGAGTTGCACACGATAAGAATAAGGCAAGTAAAAGCAAGAAAAATCTAGTGACACGCATTGCATTAAGTATTCAGAAACTACCTTCCTTTCTACTCATCTAAACAAACAACTTAATACTCTATCATCGTCAACACGTTCAGATTTAAAAAAAAAAAAAAAAAAAAAGTAAATGTAAATCACAATCAAACAAAAATAAATAAATCTTAAAACTATGTTTTTTTTTTTTTGTCTTCTCAAAACTTGATAGGAGTATTATTAATTTAGGTCAGATTGGGTCTTAATTCGTTTTCTTGTCTTCCGCATTACTAGTTGATGCCAAAGCTACCGTGGATTCATCCTCATCCTCTCCACCAAATCCAAATTCGTTCACTCTCTTTTTGTCTACTGGATAAGCCCATCTTTGATACAAATATATCAAAAATATCACATCTGTAAAATTACAAATTCCACATTTTTACTCAACAACCAACAAGAAATTAACAAAATGATTGAAAGTAAATTGCTTTTTTCATTGAGTTACTTACCATCACGGAAGACAGAAAGTCGATGTAGAATTGGCATTTTGATGACAAATGCAAACAGATCATCAATAATCGTATTCAAAAACTTGTATGTCATCTGCCTCCATGGCATATGAGCAACTGATTTCAGCTTATAATTGATGAACAGCTGTGGACACATCATAATGAAACCTACAACAACATCATCATAATATAACTAATCATGATAATCGGGAAAATTGTTTTTTTTTTATTTAGAGGCTTACCAAACATGTATACGCAGCTTGTAAGGGAAGAGAGAATCCATGAATACCAGCTCTTATGGGTTTCATACATGAGTGAATAAACAGAAGAACAGGCAACAAGTACAAAAAGTACATAAGACAAATACTTCATTGCAAGATCATCGTATTCTTTTGTCTTGTTTCCAGCATACGTGTCACGATCACTGAATTTCAATTTAGGTATGGTCCCACTTCTATCAATCTTTAAACAAAATTAAAAAAAAAAAAAAAAAAAAAAAAAAAACATAATTAGTTAAAGGAATTTTATATGTTTATATCTATAATAGTTTTAAAAAAAATGCAGAGATTAGATATTAGATATTATGTACCTCAATGTGCATTGCTTTTCCTATTTTCCAAAACTCAATGCAGCAACCGACTCCAGAACTTGCTAGAATCATCCATGAGGTGTCGTTGTCCAGGAGGTAAAGGAAGACAACTAGCTGACAAAAGAAACTCACAACAACTGATTTTGCAGAAAGTCCTTCCATGGATTTGTTTTTGTTCCAGAACTGTATGTCTACACAAAAACAACAATTTATACAGAAATTGCTTCCCAGAATAATATTATATATATATATATATATATATATATATATATATATATATATATGATTTTTGATATTACCGTTTTTGAATGCCAAAAAGTCAAAGACTGAATGAAGCAGTGAAACAACCATGGTGATTCCCAGAAGATAGGGGTTTCCTTCTACAAACACTCTCTGTATTAACAACAATATCATACATTATTATAATTATTATGGTGTTTTTTTGCTATTAAAAGACCAAAATACCCCTCCATATGTATTTTATACATGTAACAACCTTCTAAGGGCGTTTTTGGTAGCCAAATGGAACTATGGAAGGAATTCAATTCCACTTGATTCCATGTTTGATGAATTTCACCATTCCTAGTGATATGGGTGGAAGGAATTCAATTCCATACTTTCGTTTACTATTAAAAGACCAAAATACCCCTATGCTTGCATTTTATACACTAGGGGTATTTTGGTCTTTCAAATCCAGGCGATTCCTTCAAATTCCATGTTTAATGGATCTCACCATTCCTAGGGATGAGTGGAAGGAATTCAATTCCATACTTTTGTTTACTATTAAAAGACCAAAATACCCCTACGCTTGCATTTTATACACTAGGGGTATTTTGGTCTTTCAAATCCAGCTGATTCCTTCAAATTCCATGTATGATGGATCTCACCATTCCTAGGGATGGGTGGAAGGAATTCAATTCCATACTTACGTCTACTATTAAAAGACCAAAATACCCCTATGCCTGTATTTTATGTAACTAGGGGTATTTTCGTCTTTTAAGAGGATGATTCAAATGAATACCTTAAGTTCGTCGGCTTCTCCTTCAAGCATACTTCCATAACTGCGATGAATCTGGAATGACTGATCAATCTGCAGGAAAAGCTGCCATTTGGTCATGCTTATTGGTGCCACCTCTAGATGAAGGGGCAATTCGGTCACTGTATCATTGAGGGCTATAAGCTTATCTCTAAGTAACCAGAATTCATTGAAGAATACTGTTGGATAATAGTTCCCTGTTGTAGGTTCAAATTTCATGTCTATAACTCAAGTCAAGAAACTCAAGTTGTTGTGACTTGTGAAGTGAGAGAATACCAAGAAAAACACATACTTTTGAAAGATCAAAGACACGAGAAAAAAAAAAAAAAAAGTAGATGTTTAAATCTACAATAAGGACCAAATATAGAGACATGGGCAAATGCTTATAATTAATAAAGGAAAGGAAACATATAACTGGAGATTCATGTAGCTTTAATGAGAATAATTATAGGTTGTTGAGTTGAGCACTTAATAAGGTAGTGTTTGGTATGATGGAATCGGAGAAGGAATGGAATGGTTTATTCCATTGGAATGTAAAAAATAAAAAATTGTTTATAATGCCTGATGAAATGGAATTGACCATTCCCGAGGGAATCTGATTCCTTCCAACTTTTAATAACCCATTTTTATATATAACTTTTCATGACAAATCTTTGTATAGAAGTTTATGGCAGTGTTTTTTTTTCATTCCATCATGTAATGAAATGAAAACTAGTAATAATACTCATTTTATTTATAAAACCTTTGATGACACATCTTTTTTGAAATTTCATGAATTTAAATAAATTGTAATTTTATCTTCAAAAAAAACTAGAAAACAATTTTTATTATAATCTTTTTGGCCTTCAATGAGCTTTTACAATGTTCAGTTTTTTAGTTTCGAAAATAACAAATTCTATATTTATAAGTAAATAATAATACATAGGATAGTTTTGTAACCATTCCTTCTCCTTCATACCTTGTCCTTATAGTTAAATAATATATAGGATAGTTTCAAGAATATAAATGCATTAGAAAACTGAATCAGAAAAGGATACGAGGAGCAACATTAGGTGGAATAGCACGCTGTGAATACCTGCAGAATGGCATAAAAAATCACATGTCATAAAAAAAAATCGATTTTTGGAACAAAAAATTAAGCCTGAAACTATAAAACAAGCCAACCAAGTAGCAAAATGTGATAGGAGAGTTAATAGTGATATTAGGAAGCAACATACTTTGTAAAATCATCAACTAAGTTAATAGTGATATTTGGTTTCCAATATGAGATATATTCCACAGGACCTTCATCCTTTAAATCACCTTGAGGTTCTTCAACACCCTGAGTAACAACATAACATACACATTCATTCAAATTTCACATCATTAGCCATAAACAACCAAGTTGAACACTTGAACTTTGAACAAACCTCAGACACTGCTTCATCATCACCACTTGTGCCTTTAGAGTTCCCCAATAAGCTCTTCTTTTTGTTTGCTTTTGACTTCGGTAAGTATGCCACAATAGCTGCAAATAAAGATATGTTTCATTAGATACATATGCAGAAGCAGAATTAATTATATATTGACTATATTGTCCATTTGGTCAAAGTTGACTTGATGAGATACAAAGTATTACGATGAGTCAGCCCAAAGGCAGCTAAAGGCTGATACTCAGGGTCATTGGGGTCCGCTGGATACCCTGAACGTGCAAAGAACACGTGAGAATATAGACTCCCATTATGCTTCAAAGCCTGAAATTGAAATGCAATTTACATTAAGTGACATTATAAAAAGTTAAAAACCAACATATATATTGTGTGTTGAAATAAGGGTGAAGCATCAAATGTTTTGAAGATGATCACCTCTGATGGATAATACTTTAAGGAAAGAGTCCTGGTGCTTTCTGGACCCCATACTGCGTAAGGTATGTTTGATTCATGCCATATAAGTGCATCTTCATTCCCAAAATCATTGAACTTCTCATGTTCAGAGACATAGAACCACATATCCTGGAGAAAAGATTCATGGAAGAATAAGTTTCAGGAAAAAGAAGCCCAATAAAGCAACGTGCACATGATAGAAGAAAAACAAACAAAGAAATTAGACTACTTGAGAATATTTGATTTTTCTCCATATGACTTTGTGGTAGACATAACCAACCACAGAAACTTGTAGGTGAGTACTTAACAATTCAATTAAAATTCTCAAAAGATTTCCAATTTTTCCCAACAAAAACGACACTTTGATGATTTAGGTCAAACCTAATCGGTTTAAAATGCAAAACTGTTAGTTACTTCACTTGATATACACCACATCACTCCTTCATGTATCACTAGATATGTAATTACATGTTAATCAAAACGTAGTGACATGAATAAAAGTGAAACACATAAGAATTAGGTTAGCGTGTATCATTTGCGATCCAGATTTAAAAGTAAAGTGATTTACACAATGAATCACGAATAACGGAGTGTTTGTGAAAAGCAGAGGGAGAAATAGAAACGGACCAAAAGTTCAGCCTTGTGGAATAGATTGGAGATCTGAAGAGCAGGTTCGGAGCCAGAAGACGAGGGTTTACCACCGGGAGAGAAAAACTTGGATGCGAAGTAATATATGACAGCTACCCTTATGATTCCGGTAAACATCTGGCCAAAACCCTGCTGTTGCTGTGGTTGTCCTCCTCCACCACCAGCGTCACCGCCCTCCACCGCAGCCGGCGGCGCCATCTTGTTATCACAGTCCGCCGGTTGTATAGTTTAGAGAGAGAAAGAGAGATGCAATCTAGCAGAGACAGGAGTAGGAATGGAATGGAATGGAAAGGCAAGGGGGTGGGTTATTGGGGACTCCGATTATGCCATCGTGTGCCTTTAAACAACTGTGGAGTCGCACGTCAGCCTTCTATGATGATAAATATCAGGCTTCCTCTTTATCACGTTAAAATTGCATATAAAATACAATTATGATCTTTGGATATGTACTTTTAACCTAATTCTCTTATTATTAGAATTAGGATATTTAAGTCATATAACAAAAAAAAGATAAATGCTCATTGTTTTCAAGTTTTAAACCATATCTAATAATATAGGACGACAAATTCAAAGTTAGTTACAAATTTTATTATTTAAGAATATATAGTAGACAATTTAAAAATATATATATTAATATATAGGACTATACTAAATTATTCACCATTCTCAATTTATATAATTAAAATTATTTCAAAAATATTATTCCACTTACTAAAAATATCAAAATATATATATATATTCATAAAATTGACCACATATTTGATCTTAATAAATAACCACCACGAAAGAAACGTTGTGAACTGAGAAGATTAGACTAAAAGTCTCACATATCCTTATTTTTCAGAAGTTCATTTTTATTAGGAGTGAGTAAAAATCTAACCGCAAATCAAAAAAACCGAAAAAACGCATAAACCGAAACCGAAATGAAAACCGATGGTACGGTTTTTAGTTTTGCAAAAACCGAAAATACTTGGTGCGGTGCGGTTTCTAGTCTCGTAAAAACCGTAAAAAACCGAACTGCACCATGTGTATGTGTGTGTGTCTATATATATATATATATATATATATATATATATATATATATATATATATATATATATATATATACACACACACACACTAGCCGTTTGTCCGCGCAAAGCGGTGGCGGTGAATAGTTTCTTTCAAACAATTAGTTCCATTCGGAGACATGTTATATTTCTAAGAACACTTGTACCATTATCGATCGGTTTCACAAAAATAAAAAGTGCAATGCCAAAACCAAAAAATATTGTGGTGGTGGATTTCATGGAGGAAAAGGAGATGAAGATTTGAATTAGTCTACAGTCAACTATATTTCATGCAAAAAATTAGGGAACTCCAATTTGAATGAGTTTTTAAATTTTAAACGATTTGTCGAAAAGAAGTGTTTCAGATTTTAAATGCACCAGATACCAGAGAATAAATATTTTAGGAGTATAAGTTAGGTCAAAATTGATGAAAATACTAATTCAATCCCTAAAAATAAGGAAATGCTAATTTAAATGTGTTTTTAATACTTGTATCTCTAGCATTATCATTTCTAAGATATATATTATAATATTATTATATTAATAGTTGATTGTACTTTAAGCTTAAAGACTTGAACGTCATAAAAAAATATTATTATTATATTGATTCTATTTATAGAAATAGTAAGATTTCTTTTATAAGGTAGTATATATATATATATATATATATATATATATATATATATATATATATATATTAAATGTTGATATTTGTAAGAACTAAGAACTTATAACAATTAAAATTTTTATAAATATAAATATCTATGTTATCTATCGGAGAATGATTGTTTATTTTTAAGCATACATTTAGTGGTAGTTATAATAACAAATAATGTTTATGATATTTTTTAACATTTAAATATGAAGAGTACTAGTGATGATAGTATCATTTTTATGAATACATTAATTGATATCATCGCATGTACTTGTGAAACAAATATTATATTAAATTCGTATTATGTTCAAGCATTAGAAACGTGTTCGATGAGTGGTTATGTAATTTGATTTCAAGCCAAGAGGAGGCGGTATCGGTTTATCTCCAAAAAATGATTAGCACTCCCCATATGAGTAAAAGTAACTCTCCGAGTTACTTGAGTTAAAATAATACATTGTTTTCATCGATGATATCCTAGTCCATTCTCGAAGCGAAGAGGAGCATGACCAACATCTCCGACAAATCTTGGAAACCTTACGAACCGAAAAGTTATATGTGAAACTCTCTAAGTGTGAATTCTGGCTTCATAGTGTGAACTTTTTTGGTCATGTTGTTAGTCAAGAAGGGATACATGTGTATCCTTCTAAGGTCAAAGCCATTAAAGGATGGGCGATTCCAACGACATCCATGGAGATTCGTCAATTTTTAGGTCTCGCAGGATATTACAGGAGGTTCATTTAGAATTTCTCCAAGACTGCCAAGCCACTTACCATGCTTACACAAAAGGGTCATTTCTAGGACATGTTGGGGTCACACTCGGATTTGAGCTTGTCACAAGGGTATAGTTTCAGATCTTGGCTTCCTAAGGCCTTATGGACATAAAGCCTCAAGCTTTATGAAGCCCTAGCCTTCCTTCATGTCCAAAACCTTTTCCTAATGCTAGTTATGAGTGTTTTAGCTTCATAGAACCTTGCATGCACGTAAAGTTAGCAACTTTACATAATAACAACACCCTAGGAGCATAGATGTTCTGTTTGGAGCAGCTTAAAATTGTCTGAATGAGTGATGGACTGAATGGGACTCGACAAGTTGCATGGTTGACTCAACGAGTCGGTTGAAGATTGCTTGTATTGGTTTTTCATGGACTCCCGAGTCAGTAAGAAGACTGGACGAGTTAGTTAGGGTTCTTCCTGATATTTGGACATGTGTAGACTCGACGAGTTGGTGGGGAAAATCGTCAAGTTGACTCAGGGATTTCGCAATTTTTTTGAGTTTTGGAGGAACTCAACGAGTCAGTAGTTGGACTCGACGAGTTGGGTTAACATGGACTGTTGACCTTGACTGTTGACTTGGACTTTGACCAAGGTTGGCCATGTTTGAATTTTGAGAGTATTTGGTAAATGAGTATTTATGAAAATTGATCATTAGTGGTCATAGGTGTTGGAGTTTGGGGCAGTGTTTCGGGAGCGTGATTTTGTGGTTCAGTTTGGCATTGCAAGGTGAGTTATCATCACTCTATCAACATGGTATAAGGCACCAAGGCTGGCCCTTTGTCTGATTTGTGTTCAGATATTTGCTTGATATGTTTATTGATCTACTAGATCTGCATCGTGGTAGTTATGATGGTATTACATTTAGTGACCTGATTTAGGTCGGTAGCTTGGTATATGGGATGATGTTATGTTAGTCACCAGTTAGGTCGGTATCCTGGTTATAGGATGGTTGTCGTTTTAGTAATCTATTAGTTCGGTATGATTATTTATTATATACATGTTAGCGTATGATATTTATGTGATGGGTTTTGAGAATTCTAACACTTCCTAAGTGTACATGCAACCCTAATAACCTTGGATCTATGTTTGTCTAATTATCATGCAAAGTTGAATTCCAAGGTTATATTCCTATCTAGCATACATGGGGAACAATATTTAACTTGAATGGAAGATAGAATAACTTACCTTGTTGTTGCTTATGATCCTTGAAACCTTGTGAGCCTAGCACCCCAAGTGTGATGCCTCAAATGCTTCACACAACACCAAATGCAAAGGAGTAAACTTAGAGAGAATCTTACACTTGCAAAAATCAGCCTAGCCCTCACTTGTTCATGTGTAACCGATTTTGGTGGAGAATATGATCCTTATATAGTGTTGACACATCTAGGGTTACACCATGTAAACCCTAATGTGTCATGAATCTTCATTTCCATGACCCATGGGTTTGTAACTCCCATGGAGCATCCTATGGGTGGAAGCCAACTTGATAATCCATGGAGTCTCTTAGCCCACTATACAAGTTATGGATGATTTACATAATCAACCCATATATTGAATTAGTTATCTTTTGATCACTTAATTAATTATAAATTAGTTCTTGATCAAACTAATTAAATAATATTATTAATATATTAGAACTTATAATATATTAATAAACCATAAGTGTTATTTCTCTCATTTAGTCTATCTAATTGCATGGTGCCATGAAACCCAAATGGACCATGTCAGGTCGGGTTAAGTACATACCAGAAATAGTTATGGACTTAGACACCTTATCCAACAGTCTCCGATAAGTCTAATAACTATAACAGCAAGTATGACTTCAGGAACCGATCAACAATCGTAGCTCTTTCAAGGTTTCTTGGAACTGAGAAGATGATGATACGCCATTTAAGATAAGTGATCATATAATCCTCTGTTTGAGATATCAGCTGGACAAATACATGGAACAATGTCTTACTTATTGTCCAACAGTTTGTTTCCAGATTTCCGATTTGTTTGACGAAGAACTTAATTGAACACATCAACTTAATTCTGACCGGGCCTGGTACATAGGTCAAAACAAAATCATCAAGGGGCCCGGATATCAGCTTCTAATCCTAGAAGGAATAGATAAACTTCGACTCATATGTTTGTTCTACCACTCATTGAATTATACACAAGAGCACGTTTTATAAGATCGAGTTACCAATGCGTTTTCGTACAATCAATGCATAACCAACTCATAAGTAACAAATCATATATCTAGGTTTGAAGACTTATATGATATTACCGTCTCACGATCACTCGAGATAAATTCCATGAAGTGATTCCAGTGAGCGTGGGTTGAGTCCAATGCTCAGACCTTATGAGCACTCATGGTTGTTGTAGCCATGTCCAACACCTTAGACCTCTGCAACCAATCATGACAGTCTTGATTCATACCTACTTCCGACATATGACCGACTATGGAGGTTCGAATAATATGATATACCAAACATAATTATTCTGGAAGGCAAAACATGCAAAAGAAATATAGTAAATGATTGACAAGAGATAGCAACACTTTACTCATAAATAAAACACGTTTTATTCATCATCTAATGCCAATTACACTTTACAAATTTCAAGGTTAAGGCAACAACACTTTCTAATGCTCAACCCGAGTCATTCCCTTCATGAGGGGATCTGCTGGATTCTCATCCGATGATACCCTCTTTGCCATGAGGAGTCCTTCTTCTATTCGATGAAATGGTATTTTCTGTCGATGTGTCTGGATCTCCCGTGATCCCTTGGTTGCTTGGCTAAGGCAACAACACTTTCACTATCACGGAAAATTTCCATTGGCTCCTTAATAGCCGGTACAACTACAAGGTCTCCAATGAAGTTCTTCAGCCATATCGCCTCCTTTACTGCTTCGCTAGCTGCTATATACTCTGATTCGCAAGTTGAATCAGCCACTATCTCTTGCTTGGAACTCTTCCAAGAAATTGCTCCTCCGTTTAGTGTAAAGAACCAGCCTGAATG